GGAAGGCACTTCCTCAGTGTGGCCCCCACTTGGGGCCACCCACTTGGGGCCACACTGAGTGGTAAGCACCAGGCTCAGGGGCCAGATGCCAAGGGGAAGGTAAGGGGCAGTCGCCTGCACGGTGGCACCTGCTTAGCACTAGTCCTTCCCATGTGTGCTCAGTCCCAGTTTCTCTGGGATTAGAAGCAAAGAGAAGCAAAATAAAACAGCAATGACAAACAGGCTAAAGTGTCCTGACAGTGGTGCAGAAAGCTGGGCGGAGCCCTGGGATTTTCCCAATGCCGGGGAGACCGGGGTTGAGTGGGGGGCCTCTCTTTTCAAGGAGGAGTCTCGCTGACAGAAACTACAACCTCTGGGGCACAGTTGAAGAAGAATCCTGGGGAAGACGTGGTCCTGAGTCTCCAGACACTTAGCGACAGTGGGTGCTCAGTGGCAACAGGATCCTGCTCTTCCCTGCAAGAAGACACAAAGGTCAAGTACAGATCTAGCAGTCAATCAAAAACCCTGGGGAGTGCCCAGGCATGGCACCTAAGAGCCCCAAGCCAAAGGATCCTGGTGGGAAAATGAGCAGGACACGGTCCCTAGTGACACGAGAGGCAATCATTCCATCTACTGTGACACATGTTTAAAGAAAGATAAAGAGATCATCAATTTTGACCTAAAATTTGAATCTATAACAAAGACAAATAGAAATTTAATAATTGAAAATAAATATCTGAAATATACTCAATTTATATGATGTAAACTGGAAGATAAATTAGAAGAAAAATACTTAAGCTGAGACACAAAGAAAGAGGAAAAGAGACAGGGTACAGAAAATCTGTGTTCTCCTTCCTGTTCTGGGGGAAATAGTGAAAGAAGTAGAAGATAAGAAATATTCAAAAGGATTGCCAACAAGAATTTCCAAAACTGACAGCAGACATCAAAACAGAGATTTAAGTAATTCTGAAAAGTACTCAATTCAATTCAAGGAAAACCTCAACCAGCACATTGTAATAAATCTGCTAAAAGAAGGCAAGAAAAGATCTTAAAAACAGCATAGAGCTGGGATTTAGCTCAGTGGTACAGCCCCTGCCTGGCAAGTATGAGGTCCTGAGTTTGATGGAAAAAAGTAAATAAATAAATAAATAAATGAGCACTAACAAGAATTCTGTCTTTGAAAGACCGAATCTAAGGTTGACAGAAAAATGAAATAAATACAGCAGTGCCATCTTTGAAGGGTCCAGAGGAGGAAACAAAGTAATAGATAAAGGAACAATTAGGAAATAATCAATTAAGCAACAAAGAAAGAACAAATGTTACCATCAGTTGTATCGTAAATAAAAGTTAAAACTGATTGGATGAAATAAAGTAAAGCAAATCTATTACCCTTGTGGGGAGGGGAATACGATGGGAATGCACAAAACTACAGCCAAAGGTAACCCTTCAGGACCAACCAGAAGGGAAGAGACTGTGTGCTTCTCATTGTCAGAAGCAAAGTGGTTAAGAATTCAAGATGCTTTGCTTAGGAGGAAAAGGAATAATGGCAATCAAACACAGAGACACAACACTAAATTTGTAAGCTTTAGTAATAATACACCTTCAAAATGTGCACCAAAAAAATCAATGTAACTATGATGTCAAACAGACACAGAATCACAAGTGAATGTTTTTACACCTACCATGACGGTGTTGCGTCCATCAGGCAGGCCGGCACAGATGTCAAGGTCTGAATGAATCTGATGTCTAGAGAGCCCTCCTGCCATTGCTAACAGACAGAATCTGTTATAAGGGCATGTGGAATTTATGCCACCATCCACTATATTTAAAGCAACAATGATCATTTCACTAAAATAAAAATTATACATAGAACTCTCTTTGACTAAAGCCTATATAACCAGAAATAACTTTAAAAACTAGAAAATATCTAAATGTTTTGAAATTAAGAAATAATATTTGAAATTAGAAAATATTTAGAACTGAAAACAATTAAAACAGTATTGTTTAAAGATTGTCTTAGATGAAAACCTATGGGTCCATCATATACATTAGAAAAATCGAGAAATATAAACAGGATGGAAGCTACATGTCATGAATTTAAATAAATAACAGACATCTATGCACTATCACACTAAAAAGAGAGAAAGAGTTAAAATGTTAATCTATAAAATGAACACTGAAAATTTCACTAAGATAAAATTTGATTATTTGACAACTAATAAAATTTGTATACCAACTTAAAAAGTAAATCATATTTCTAAGCTTACAGAACAAAAAAAGTTGTAATTGCTATACAGCAAGTAATTCATATATTTTTCTATACTCTTGAGTTATACATTCTGAAAATTACAAAATGGTAAGGAAATCAAGATCTAAAAGAATGGGGAGTGGTGATGATGTTTTCCACAAATGATTCTAGAACAAGCAACATTCACAGGCTAAACAGTGGGCAGGTGATGTAAACTGCAGTCTGCACAAAGATTAATTCGGTGTGAGCCAAGGACAAATTTGCAGCATAAACTTACCAATACCATGAAACAAAGACACAGAAAAAATATGGAGATAAAAAAATGTGGAGATCGTCCTTAACCTCAAAGGAAAAGTTCATGCAAGATAAAATTGATGAATTGAGATTTATTAAAATTATAAAATTTGTTCTATGAGGGAATATAGTAAGTTTAAGACACAAGCTACACACCCTGAGAAAATTGTGCATCTGACATAACAGACAAAGGGTTGGCATCGCCACCGCATTATAGGAAGGAGCTCTCTCATATGGGAAGAGAGAGAGGAGAGAGAAAGGGAGGGAGGCCGGAGGTAAGGTATCACATCTAGAAAGCGGCCATAGCACAGGAGCAGACCTTCCATTTTAGGTGCACAGATGACAAATAAGTTTCTGACAAGATATTCAACAAAAGCAGTGATCAGCTGAATGCGAACTAAAACCTCAGTGAGGCGTCACTGTACCTGTGTTAAAACAGCCAAGCAAAGGACAATACAAAGACTGGGAAAACCAGTCTGGGAAGGCAGCTGGCAGTGTTTTTAAAGTGTACGCACGATCACATGACCCAATAATCACATTTCTGAGTATTTGTGTCAGAGGAAGAAAGACTTATGTTCTAGGAAAACCTGCACATAAATATTCAAAGCAGCTGTATGCATCATGTGCCGGAAGTAAGTTGGCCCTAGCATCCCAGAGCAGGTGGACAATTGCACCAGCCACAGGATGCCTGTGCCACAAGCCTGCCCCAGAAACACAAAGGACAGCTGTGAGTACAGAGCGGTGCACTCACCCTGAGTGAATGGAGTCCATAGAAGATGACATGCTCTGCCATTCCATTTTCGTATTGTTTTGAATGAAGAATGTGGAGGTGGATACAGAGTAGCCTTGGCAGAGATGCAGAGGAACAGTGTGACATCAGAACTCTTGGCAGTGATAGGACTGTACTGCCCCAGCATGTGGCGGAGCCACCAGCCTGCACCCACGAAGGGCTTGTGCAGAGCTACACACACACACACACACACATACACACACACATGACGGGAATCTTCCGTAAGAGACAGTGTGTCTGTGCTATCTGCCTGGCCCTCCCAGTCCAGGCATCAACATCGCAGGAAAATTGACGTGAACACTTCATATTACTTTGTCTCCTTTACAAGTTTCTACCATTTCCTGAATGAAAACGTCAAAGCTACAAAAATACCTGTCACCCTTTTCCTGTAAATTCTTAAAAATTCATGGAAGTGAAGCATGATACAGCACCAAAGTGGCACAAGGTGGATTCACCCATGTGATGTGGAACAGCGTGTCACGCACAGCGCAGTTTAACCTGCAGCCCGCTTTCCACAAGCTGACTCGGCCCAGCGGCGCCATGGGAAGGTGGCAGGGAGAGTGCTGTGATCCTCGCTGGTACGGATCTGCTGTCCTCTGAGGGACACAGGGACGCACCGCCCGAGAGCTGTGGGCTGCTACACTGGGAAAAACGTATGCACAAAGTCTGTCCAACAAACAAAGGAAGGAATGTAAAGGGCCGTCCTGTCAGCACACACACACTTAGAGAAGCGGACACAGGCGCAGGCCCCTAGCCCGGCTGGGGCATGGCCCTTTGGGAGCTCTGGGGGTGGTGCCTCCCCCACTTTGTTTCCTTGAGGAGTCAGGTGTGCCCCGCGCCCATGGGGGTGCGGCCCTGACCACAGGGGTGTGAGGGTGGGCAGGTCACGCGCCCCTCTTCCCAGCTAACTTTGCTGAAAGCCGGGCTGCCCATCGGCTCAAGGACAGTTACTTTGGTTGAACTGATTTCCTTCTTGCACTTTTGCATTTCAACATCCCTTTCTGTCAGCGCGCTGAGTCGTCAGTGGATGTAGTGTTTTTTTCATGGCTGTCAGCAGTTGCTCTGTGACTGCTGGGCTCATGTTCCGTGCCCCATTGGTCTTCCATTTGGTTGGAGCTAGACATTAATATGCAGAGTGGAGTGTCAGATCTGTTCCAGCCACGCACACTGTGCTTTTCAATATCCTCTTGATGTGTGATGGCCTGGAATGCATTTTCCCGAAGATTCTGTGATAAAGGAACATGGTAAGTCTGGGGTAGACAAACCAACCATTTTGTGAAGGAATATACGTTTCTCACCTGGACTTGCTTTCGCATTGATCTCCTGATGCTAGGAAACTATAGCACAACAGAGGCCATCTCACAGTGGTGGCTGTCATTCTTCTTTCCAGGACTGTCCCCATTTTATCAGCATCAGTCCAGCACCAGGAGAAGCCCTTCAATTCCAGGCAAATAAGATGGTCAGTCACAGGAAGACGATCTTTAAAATAAAACAGAATGTCACAGTGATGTAATAATGACTAAGGTTTCTGCTGTCTGAGCACAGTGCTGATGTGAACTCCAGGGGCACAGTCTTGGAAGAGGGTCCTCTTTCAACCAACTAGACCATCCTTCAGAGTGGGGGTCCTCCCAAATGGGCATCCATTGCTTTTGAATGTTTATTCAATGCTGAATGTTTATTCTCATGCAGGCTCACAGGCTCCAGCGTCCCTGACCTCATCGTGAGCATGAGCAACCAGATGTGGCTGCACCTGCAGTCTGATGACAGCATCGGCTCACCTGGCTTTAAGGCTGTTTACCAAGGTAAGATGAAGCCTGCTGGGTACTGAAAACCGAGGCTCCGACCCAGGCAAGGGTTCTGACAGATGTGTTAAAAAGAGAAGCTTCAGGAATATGTTTATATAGATACAAATTATCTCGACTTCCTGGAGGTCCTAAATACTTTAATCCTTTTCACAGGCTGGTCTGTGACTGAGGAAAGGTGACAACCTGTCGTATGTGTCACTGCTTAGGTAAAATGGAAAAGGAGGCCAAGGGAGACACATGAGCTCTTGCCTGTAGCACATGCCTGGCCTTTTGAGATCATATCAGTGGGCATGTTTCTAATTTTATGGACTAATTCGACATGAAAAGAAAACTAGAAAAAACTATGAAATCACTTGTATTTCCAATTTCATGTGAGCCAGTCCATATATCTGGAATGAACAATCTGTACTTTACATTATTTTTAAACTATTTGAAAACTTGGAAAGTTGTCAAAAAAAATGAGAGCAATGCCAGTAATTACTGACCACCAGATGCAAGGGGAGTCTGCTTTTCTACAGAAGAGATATAATTGATCATTCCTGTGGTTATTAACTACTTTTGATTCCATGTGAATATCAATTCTAACGTTTGTGATCACATTTATGCTCACTTTCTTTGGATTCTCTTTGAAGCACGTCATTACTGGAGTTGCCATTCTTATTGGGTTTTATAGGCTTTTGATGTGATGGAAATTTCAGTAAAGAAGGGAGAGATGATACTGTTAACTGGAGGTTTTGAATTTCATTTTACTCAGTTTTACTTTGAGAATTTGTGTGTGCAGAAGGCTTCTATGTTGTGCATGCTGAAAGAGTATTTTCAGTTGACAAAAAAGCCAGCAAGAAGTGACTGTATAAGAGATCAGTGAGGCAGAAAATAAAAACAATCCACCAACTCCAAAGCCGAAGCCCTGGGGGTGGACACGCAGTGGGTGATGGTGTCTGCACTCTGGCCATGGTCACAGCCCGATGTGAGCACACTTAGAGATCTCTGCGGTAAGACGGCTTCCCTTGCTGGAAGAACACTGGAACTTAATGATTCTTTTTTTATACATACATAAAAATGTTATAGCAAAATAGTCCTATTCACATCCTACTAAGAGGTTAGGACTAGGCGGCAATAGGATTGCTGGATTCTTCCCAATATTTGGGCTTCCACACAACTGTGCTGTTTTTCAAGGATACATGGAGTATATTCCACATGACCTGGTTTTCTGCTGCCTTTGGTGGAATCTAAAGGTACCAGTGAAAAGCCAAGCCCTTCCCAGAAGGATGCTTTATAATTTGTGTGAAGACCACATCCTAAAGCATGCATTTGGGGAGCAGAAACCAGCATGGTCTCCAAACTGGGGGTCCTACTGGTTAAGGATTATAAACTTTCTCAGTTACAATGAAATACTGTGTGCATCAGGTTTGGCCTGAGGAGCAGCCCCTGTTAATTACCAGCATGTGGGACTGTACTCGTAGTCTGTTAACTGTGGCAGTGTCTTAGCGGCCACAACTCCAGAGGTCCCTGAGACATGGCTGAGTCAGCACTGTGCATTCCCTTTTGACAAAACCATCTGATTGGGGCTGGGGATTTAGCTCAGCAGCATAAGCACCTGCCTTGCAAGCAGGCAGTCGTGAGTTCGATCCCGGTACCGATAAAAAGGAAAAAGACAAAAAAAAAAAAAAAAAAAAAAAAAAAAAAAACCATCTGATCATCAACAAGGGAGCTACTGTGTCTTTGACCTTGAAAACACTGAAAGAACTTTTCCAAAGAAGACATTCTAGAAGTTGGTATTTCCGGAGTACCGAATTAACTAGCATTGGAGAGAAGGTACAAACGATCACATGAGAAGAGCTGCCTGTGAATTATATTTTCATAAAACACATGCAACCGGTATTTACAAACAGCCTCATTTCCTAGCTTAGGTGTCCAGTGGTGCTGACTAACCATGTTAGGGACGCGTGCTCAGCTAGACCCCCGGGAAGCCCTGCCACAGCTCCTCTGCATAACTCTGTGCTTGCGGCACTAAGGAGGCCTGTGCTTGTCCAGGCCATCACAAGTCCCTGACATCAGTGGCCTGCAGCCAGGGCTTATTCTGTTTTCTGATGTGGCTGACTCTGATGGTCTCTGTTGTCATAGAAATAGCACCAAGTGAGGCTCACCCGCAGTTAGATTTGGTGTCAGCTGCCGCAGATCCTTAAGTCCTGGCAGGGGGTAATGGAAGGAAGTGCTGCCTTTGAGTGCTGCTGTGGCAACAACAGGCCTATTTCAGCTCACACTCAGTTATTTTGATAAAACTGAGCTCATCATGGCTGTTTAATACCACAGAGGCAGAATTGCCCATGCAGCAGCACACAGATGAAAGGCGTCAGTGACATTAGCACAGGCATCGTGATCTGGGGCCCAGGGCTCTGCCCAGCCCATGTGAGGGATGGAGGTGACACTCTCCACACACCACCTCCAGAGGAAAGCCCAGCCTCCCTCAGAAGAGCGCCCCCTCCTGGCAGGGAGCCTCCCTTCCACACCAGCTCTTCTGTACCTGTTTGAATTCACTGCCTGCTGTGGACTCTGGCCCCCCCCCCCCCCCGCTCCCTGGTGGCGCCAATTCCACTCACGACACAGGTGCAGGTGGACTGCAGTGCGGTGAGCAGCTGCAGAGCAGATGAGAGCAGCCAGCCCAGGAGGAGGTGAGTTCAGGCCCCCAAGCTAAAGACCAACAAGAGTAGCAGATGCTCTCACCAGAACAAAATGTCAGCAAAGCACAGCACCTCTGCGGAGTACACCACCCCCGATGCGGCAGGGGGCGCTGTGCAGGGTACATGCCATCCATGCATCACAGTCTTGGGAAGACGCTGCATGTCAGGGACACCTTTGCTGCATGGCTCGGGCTTTCTTTCTGAGCTGCACTTTGTTCATGAATCGGAAAGTCTCCCCTTTTATAATGTGGGGTAAACCACATTTAATAATGAGATAGCCATCATGAAGCATTAAATCACTCACAGTTCTGAGCCGGGGATGCACAATGAGCTCTAAAGGGAGGAACCTGGGTTAGCAGATTCAGGGTTAGCACCCCAGCTCGTGTTGCTTTCTACCCTATCTGCTTAACACTTACCCTCAAAGGTTAAGTCTTAGCCTCAGAGAAAATTAAGATGAGAAGGGTGGGAGTGACAGGCAAGTTAGTGGATGGCACCCCACTCTGTGAAACCTGGAGCCCCAATTCCCCGCTGCACCCAGCATGGGGCCAGGTTGAAAGCCCAGCGTGTGATGCCTTCTCCTGGCCAAAGAGCTGCTGAAATGCTTGAAGGCAGAAATGCGCACCCAGATTGTACCTGGGCAGAGGAAGTGATGCCCTGCTGCCATCTGTCCCTTTGCAGGATGAGGCTTGCATGGGCTGAGGCCTGCCGTCCCCAGCGCATGGGATGAGCACTTGTCCTTAACAGTTTTACCTTTATTCTTCAATTGCATTCATACCCATCCTCTTTTTGTCTCATATACTTGTTTAAATTCCTTGATACCCCTACACTCTCCTGAGTTGCGTGGATTTGCAGTAGATGCCTTTTCCCTGGGGTTATTGATGGAACTGCTCTTTTCCCCTAAATGCAGCCCATGTCTTAGATTCCATTCTGCTTGCACCACTGTGCCGGTCAGGTCCTGTGGTTGCAGGTGGATCTTTGTGACTCCTTTCAAGTGTGCTTAGACATCTGTTTTCCTAAACTCGGAGCAAGCAGAGCTCCATCTCTCCCTGCTTTTCCAAAAGCCAAAAGAAGGCTTCCGTGACCTGTGGCCTGAGGCTGAGAAAGAGAAAAACTCATTGAGTGGAGAACAGGCCAGGGGAGCAGGGTCGGGGCGCAAAATGGGGTGCAGGAGATGCCGCGCTCTCCTGGCATCTTGTGGCTGAGCAGCCTGGGCCTGCACACTGGTCCTCAGGGGGCTTCCACTTAGAAGCAGAGCACAGAGCACCCTATAGCGACTTGTACTCCAGTTCTGGAAGAGATGGCTCCACCTACCTAGGAGGAGTTCCAAGCTCCAGAAAGCTGGCGCTAGGACTGATGCACAGCAGGACCAAGGCTTGGTGCCACCTGAGGTAGCAAGAGCCCTGCACTGGAAGCATCCGACGCCCTGGGGGAAACAGGAGCGCAGCTTGGACTCTCGTAGAAAGAAATGTGTGGTGCTGACACAGGAGGCCGCACACCCCAGAGCACCCCGAGCACCCTGGAGCACCCAGAGCTTTCCCAACCTCTGGTTAGCAAAAGGAGGACCCTGGGCACAGGCTGGCAGGAAGCTGTTCTGCTATATGGAGAGGCCTGGGGATCCTGAGACTGGCGCCTAGGGGAAGGCAACACCCAGCTACCAGGTTTTCCTGGAATCTCTGCTCTGCTTTCTTGTCTCGGCTTCCCTCAGGCATGAGGCAGACCTGCCATGACTGGTGGAAGCTCTGGCTCCCCTAAGAGCCCACTGCTCCTGTCACACTCACACTCAGAAGCGCAGCACGCAGGGCCCTTGGCACGTTCCACCTCCCCAGGGATGCTGAGCCTTCAGGGTCCCAGGAACAGCACAGAGCAGCTTCCAAAGAGAAGGGGAGAGCGGGCACCAGCATGTCCCACATGGGAGCCAGGGTCCCGCAGGTCGCATGCTCCCCCAGCAGCCCTGCCTCCCTGTCCCCACAGTGCTGCTCCCAGGCTGCAGGGCTGAGCATGCTGACCTCAGGGGACATCTACACCTTCCCCTGACAGGACTTGCCGGAGACACCGTGGGTGCCCTGTCCTCCAAAACCACCCCACGCCTTCCTCTTTTTATTTCTCTTTTGTTCATCTTATTTTCTGTCTCTGGGCTGCAACTACTCACCTTCGTTACTAAATCCGTGCCTTTGCACCATTAAAGTATTGGATGCCCTTGAAGCCAGGGCATGAAGATTCAGGGGGCTGTGACTGCCCATTGCCTTGGTAGGTTGGTGGATACAGGTGACTTTCCAGTACCCTGTCCTTCCCAGGGGAGCCTTCCATCTTTTCATC